CAGCCTCTCAGTATTGCAGCTTTCAGTAATCAAGTAGCTCTTTCACTTCTCATATGTCTTATTCCCAAGACTGAAGTCAACTCTGGAAGGTTGAGACTATTTTCAGTTGGTGAAAACTCACAGATTCATTATTATCATGCCATCTTCCAAATTCAATGAGGGTTAGCATAATGGTCCCATCTCTCCCTCTGGTCCTTGGGCAAGATCACTCTGTTCTACTCATAGAGATCCTTAATTCTGAATACCTCAGAGAGAATTAGGAGTGACCATACCCATTCCTTTCTGCCAGAAGACTCTGAACCCACTGTGCAAATGAAACCACCCACTTGCTAGAATTTTGCAGAGATTAGCTTTGCAAATTGATACAAAATAAATCTTTGTACCTGGAATTTTTCTCCCATACTGGGACCTGCATAACTACAAGATTCATAAATAGGTGGCCCCTTTTCCTTTACCTATTCCCAAAATAGCTATCAGGTTTTAGTAGTATAGAACAGGGGGGGGGGAAAGGCACCACTTTTTGTGACAAGTACCATATTATAAAATAATTTGTCTATTGATCTCAAGTCTTTAGACTCTAATCTCCTTGAATGCAGGTACTGTGTAATTTTTCATTTATTTAGCCCCATTGTCATCTCATATATTTTTTTAACACTATAATTTTTTTAACCTTCCTTTGAAGCTTTCCTTCCTTCTTCCTCTTTCTACTCTAGGACTTAATATAATTTACCAATGTTTGCATGGGTCAGTTGTTTTGTCTTAATAACCTCAGGGCTTCTGCCAGAGTCAGTGCATTGATGGACATCAACGAATAGTCTCAGGATGTCTTAGGGAAATGACCATTATAGAGATTTTGATCTCTGACAGTGTTTCCAAGAGCAAAGTACCCTTTTAAAGGGATACCAGGCTTCTACACAGAGAGAACCTGTTTTTACCAGAATCTTTTTGGTTTTTGAAGGACACCCCAAAAATCTCTTCTCAGGCCACCATTTCTTGGAACTTCTTTCTTGCTGCACTGGTTCCATACCCATGATTGTTTTATGAGAAGGTCTTGCCTAATGGGTCTCATAAATCCATCAGAGTAAACCTTCACTTGCAACTCAACACCAACTCTGGACAGCAACTTCAAACCACAGTATAAGCATCTCTACAATGTGATGTGTCTACTTTCCCTCCCACAACAATGGAAAGGCGTCTCATTGAGATGAGCTCTCCCAGTTCCCTGAAGGTTGTGCAAGCGATTGTCCTCAGGGATTGATCTTTACAGGCTATTCACAATAGAATTTCCATGCAAACTCTCATCACAGCCAAGCTTGACACTGTGTTTTAACCTCACCCAAAGGCACTTTCTTCCTTCTCTTGAGACTGGATGAACTCAAGGACATCAAATATTTTACCATCCCATCTCTTGACCAGAGATGAATTAACAATAGAGGGAAATGAGTTAGCCTTTCCCTTTCAGCTGTGTGAGTTTTACCAGGCCTACAAGAGGTTGATAATACACATAATATATAAACAAAGCATAAAGATAATTGAAAAGATGGAAGGCTTTTCAATATTTTTGTATACTAGCTAATGCTAAAGCTAATACCAAACTCAGAGAAAGATAACATAAAAACTACTTTGGGAATGATAGTAGATCATTAAAAAAAAAAAAAAGAAAAGGAAAAAAGCAGTTATTTTTTCAAGATATAAATAAATAAATAAATAAATAAATAAATAAAAACTACTGTCTAAACTTACATAGAATCATAGACGCAAAATTCCTAGTAAAATACTGGCAAATCAAATCCAGGAATATATTCTAAAAAATATCACAAGCAAAGAGAGCTTAGCCCAAAAATATGAAGATGGTTTATCCTTAGAAAATTAACCATTTTAGTTCAGAAAAAAACATATTTCAGTAAGTACAGTGAAAGTTTTTCATAATTCAAGTTTATTATTGATTTTAAACATTCTTAGCAAACTAAGAATAGATAGAAGTATTCTTAATTTTTTTTTGTTCTAATAAAGTTACTGTATGCTAAGAAATATTCTTAATTTGATATATCAGAAATCTTCCACAATAATCATACTTAATAGTAAAACATTAAAATCATTTCCATTAAAATCATAAAAGAGACCTTATTTTCCATATCATATTTTTGATCATAGCCAATGAAATGGGATGGAAATAAAAATGAGAGGTACACTTATACTAAAAACATAAAAGTGTCAATAGGATTGTGAACCTAGAAAATTGAAAGAAAATAATAATAAGCAATTATGACTAATATATTCAGCAAGGTGACCAGATACCAGGACAAGAAAACAATAAAAACAAACATATGGAGCAATTTCCAATCTTATTTAATTTAATTAATTAATTTATTTTTTGAAAAAGAGTCTCACTCTGTTGCCCAGGCTAGAGAGCTGTGCCGTCAGCCTAGCTCACAGCAACGTCAAATTCCTGTGCTGAAGCAATCCTGCCTCAGCCTCCTGAGTAGCTGGGACTACAGGCACGAGCCACCATGCCTGGCTAATTTTTTCTATATATTCTTAGTTGGCCAATTAATTTCTTTCTATGTTTTAGTAGAGATGGGGTCTCACTCTTGCTCAGGCTGACTTCGAATTCTTGACCTTGATCAATCCTCCCACCTTGGACTCCCAGAGTGCTAGGATTACAGGTGTGAGCCACTGTGCCCTGCCATGATTTTTTTTTTTTTTTTTTGTAGAGACAGGATCTTGCTATGTTGCCTGAGCTAGAGTGATGTGGCGTCAACCTAGCTCACAGCAACCTCAAACTCCTGGGCTCAAGAAATCCTCCTGCCTCAGCCTTCTGAGTAGCTGGGACTACAGGCATGCACCGCCATGGCTGGCTAATTTATATATATATATATATATATTTTGGTTGGCCAATTAATTTCTTTCTATTTTTAGTAGAGACAGGGTCTCACTCTTGCTCAGGCTGGTTTCGAACTCCTGACCTTGAGCGATCCACTTGCCTTGGCCTCCCAGAGTGTTAGGATTACAGGCATGAGCCACTTCGCCTGGCCTTGTCACATTTAAGGAAAAAAATTTCACAGTAGCTTTCTCCAATGCTAATATCCCATTCACTCTTTAGTATACTGTAATCTGAATTCTCCTTCCACTATGTCATTCTAATGATGTTGGCAATTTCCTTAATGTCCAAAGTTAATTAATCTTTATTCTGTTTTCCCTAACAGAGGTGCTTTAACACTGCTGGTTACTTTCTCCTTGACACTCTCTTCCTTGTCCAGTCACATTTAGAAAGGAGGGTGTGAGAAGTGAGAGGAAGACGTTTTAGAATTGCCTGTGTTGAAAACTGAAAGCTGTTACCTGCATGTGTGTGAGATCAGATCAGAAGCCATCAAGTGCAGAAACAATTCAGAAATGAGAAGCAGGTGTGGCCAAGTATAAAGACAGTGTCTGGAGAAATCCAATGAGGGAACCAGAAAGCGAAGTGGGACAAAGACAGAGAACACCCTGAGTCTTAAGGGGAACAAGAGTCTGCAAACCCAGACAAAATTCGGCAGAGGCCCTGTGACTTCTTCAGCTGAATCTTATTCTCAAATCTCAAAGTGTGGAATCTTTTATTCCCAGAAAGTCTTAAGGATGCTTCCTTTATGTTTTTCAGTACCACCCTCTCAGATTACCTCTTTTTTCTCTGTTCTTTCTCCCATTTAATCATCCAGCTTTCCTTCTATTTATCACACATATACTTACTGTGGCATATGACCACCATATGCAAGGTATTATGATATGCCATGAAGGTAAACAAGCAAGATATAGTCCTTGACCTCAAGAACTCACATTATTGACATCTTTTTCGCTAACCATCTTATAAATGTTAGTGTTTCCCAAGGCTCTTGCCTAGACTCTCACAGCTTCAACTGTCTCACATTACCAGTTGTCTCCCTGGCTTCTTCACCTGATATCTCAAACTTGAAATAGCCAACACTGGATATTCTTTAGCCACCAAACCCACAGAGATCATTATCAACGTAGAAACTCCTAAGGTATCCATTCCGACTTCCTACATGTCATTCAATTCTCCCCCTTCCAGTTCATCATTACTACTGATATCTAAATTACCTTTCCAAAAGGCAAATTTTATTTATTTCTACCTTTATTAAGATCCACTGTTGATCCTGTATCCATATGTTTTACCCCTATATTTTGGATCTTTAGATTTCTCCTGCGTATTTTTTCTTCATCTCTCAACACTCTACTGGCTAAACAGAATTGCTTACAACTTCCAAACATAAGAAGCTTTGGTCATACTCTGTGCCGTTCTTTGCCCAAAATGCTCTAACCTCATTTTTCCATCTGACAAAGACTGACACTTCTCAATATTAGCTCAACTATTACATCCTCTGTTAAGCCTTTCCCATCTCCTCCAAACAGAGTTGTACTATCTTTCCACTGAGCTCTGTATTTAGAGTATACTTATACTATGAAGGAAGAATCACATTTGTTTTCTATTCATTTAGATATCTATATAATATTCCTTTAGTAAGGACCATGTACTTTTTATTTTATATTGCCCTATACCCAGCACAACAGCCACCACAAGACTGAAAGAATGAATAACTCACAGAAAAAAATAATGAATGGGAAAAGAAATGCTTTTCTTTTTCTATTCATAGCATGAATATTAGGACACAACATGTATCTCCATGTATGTAAACATGTGAGAGGGTTGAAAAAATGAAGATTGGGGAACAAAATGAAGGTTAAAAGAGAAAAGAGAGAAAAATCAACAGGAATCACTGGTGTGCACAGAAAACAAAGCTGACATCTAAGAAGGGATGCAAAGAATCACAAATGAAAGGAACATCTAGGAAGTGTCCAGAGGAGCAAGGCATATCAGACTCCTAATGAAATAGTTGTCATTGGTCTCTACAAACCCAAAAAAGTTTCATCCTTTTATCATTTCAATAAAGATATGACTATACATAGTTCAGTTCCTAGGAAAGTACTAGGGAAAAAAAACTTACACTTGGCCAGCAAGGTGTCCGATCAAAAAATTTCCCAGTGTATATGGGTCTGATGCGATCTGGAGGTTCCACTCCTTGTTCAATGTTTCCAGCTTTCTTTTTCTCTTCAGGATGTTGGGCAAACTGGCACTGGGGTGGTTCTACTACCAAGCCCATCTGGAGCTCTGTATTCTTAGTTTCATCTGGCTCCTCTGTTTGGGGCAGCCCAATGTCCACCTCCACAGGAGGCTTAATCTCTGGGCTTGGTTTCATCGCAATACAGGTAGGCTCTTTTTCTAGTTCCTGTCTTGGTTCCACATCCAAAGCATGCTGCTTTTCCACTAATGCCTCTATCCCTTCAGGGCCACTAGCCGCAGGACATCTCCCGTACCCTACATCCTGTGGACTTCCACTCGCCATGCCCAAGGGAGCCTGTAACCTTCCACGGTTACGCCCTGCCAGAAGATACTCATTTTCTAACCCCATTCTTCCTGGCAATATATCCAGACAAGGTTTTGTTCCCTGTGAGTTGACTCCGAAATTACCCCTCTCCGTGCGGGGCCTAGAAAAGTTCTGCCTTTTTGATCGTATTTCGAGTTCCTTCCTCAATGGAGATTTTGTTTCTGGTGGTGCCCTCGTTTCCTCATATTTATTACTAACCACAGGCCTCTCCCGCCATGAGGAATCTTCTTTTCCTAATCCCACCCGGAGCCCCAACTCAACTGGAGACCGTGGTCCCATGAAGACCCTCCTGTCTCCTAAATCATCCTTTTGCTCCTGAGTGAGTGTGACCTCCATGCTCAGGGGAGGTTTTCCTTCAGACACCTTCAGCCCTCCAAAGGCACCTATAAGGGGAAAGCTGTACCTGGCTGGAGGGAAGTTTCCAATCCCCTGGGGCGCCCCAGCACTTTGGGAGACCCCACTCTCACGAAAGAACACATTCCCACTCGGACTCCTTGCCCACTGCTTCCTGCCTGCCTCTTAACACTTAGCAGAACTCACAGAGGAAAGGGAGAAGGAGTCTGTTTAGCCGGTTACCTAGGAAACAGGGGCGGGGCTTGGCGCACAATTCCCCCTTGGGCAGATCCCCGCCCATCTCTCCGAGCTCTCTTCTCCTCTCTCTTCTGTCTCTGTCTCTGTCTCTGTCTCTCTCCTCTCTTCTCTCTCTCCTTCTCCTTTCCTCTCCTCTCCTCTCTCTCTCCTCCTCCTCCTCTCCCCTTCCTTCTCTCTCTTCCATACTCCCTCCTGCACCCCCCCCGCCCACCCCCGCCATTCTTCTCTTCTTTACTAGATTTGAGAGCGAGAAAACTTGAGTGATGTGGCCTTAGGCATTAGAGCCAATGTTTACCAACTTCTTATTCTTTGGTTTCCCAAGGAAAGCAGTCCTTTTAGGATGGTTTCAACCATTGGCTTCTTCCTGGCCACTGGCCTTATAATTTTACTGTGATGAACTAATAAACTTTCTGGTGGTGACTACTTTTTTAGGTCCTTCATTGCCCAAGTATCTTTGCACTGCATATAGTTACTTTAGCGCTAAAAAAACTACTTTAAATTTTGTAGAGTTATTATATTTAACAGCTGTAGTATAGAAACATCCTAAAAATCCTTGAGAACACACACTTTCATAACTAGACTTTAAGTTACACTTAAAGTGAACATGCTAAAGTTTGAGATACGTCGCACTATAATGCATATTGCCTACCATGGTGCCCTGTACCTGCAGTCCCAGCTACTCTGGAAGCAAAGGCAGGAGGATGGCTTGAGGCCAGGGGTTCAAAGATGCAGTGAAGTATGACTGTACCACTGCACCCCAGCCTGGGCAACAGAGCAAGACCTTAAAAATAAAAGAAAGAAAGGAAGAAAAGAAATATTGTCGTAAACTCAAAACTTTATTGTTTTAAGTAGGAGATTTTCTTTAAATTGGGTTTATATATGTCAAATTACTTATTTATTTTGAGACAGAGTCACTCTGTTGCCTCAGCTACATGCCATAGTGTCAGCCTAGCTCACAGCAACCTCAAACTCCTGGGCTCAGCAATCCTTCTGCCTCAGCCTCCCAAGTAGCTGAGACTACAGGCATGTGCACCATGCCTGGCTAATTTTTCTATATATTTTTTTAGTTGGCAGTTAATTTCTAATTTTTAAGTAGAGATGGGGTTCACTCTTGCTCAGGCTGGTCTCAAACTCCTGACCTTGAGCAATCCTCCGCCTTGGCCTCCCAGAGTGCTAGGATTACAGGCCACCTGGACTAATTTACTGCATTTACATTTATTACATGTTATGATAATTAAAGACAACAAAGTTAAAGGGATAGGTTCTACCCAATACTATGCATTTTATATGAGATTCAAGTATCTGAAGATTTGGTATCCATGGGGTGGCAGTTGGGATCCTGAGCCATCCCCAGCAGATGGGATGCTTGTATAGTCATGGAACTTATATTCTAGTTCTAGTAAAGATAGATAACCACTAAGTGAAATAAGAAATAAAATCATTTCGGATAGTGGTAAGTGTTATGAAGAAAACAGAACACTTTGATGCGTTAGAAAGAAGTTTAGGTAGGTGACATTTGAGCTGAGGCCTGCATGATATCTTCAAAGACACAAGCTTTTTAAATTTGACTAGCTCAAGTTTTTACAGACTTTTTCCTCTTTTCTTTTCTTTCTTTTTTTTTTGGAGACAGAGTCTCACTCTTCGCCTGGGCTAGAGTGCCATGAATCAGCCCACTTCAAACTCCTGGGCTCAAGTGATTCTCCTGCCTCAGCCTCCCAAGTAAATGGGGCTACACTCGTGTGGTACCACACTTGGCTAATTTTTTCTGTTTTTAGTAGAAAAGGGGTCTCACTCTTGCTCAGGCTGGTCTCAAACTCCTGAGCTCAAGTAATCCTCCCTCCTCAGCCTCCCAGAGTGCTAGGATTACTGGCATGAGCCACGGAGCACAGCCTCTACAGACTGTTTCTCACTGCCTTGCCACCATGTCTTACATTAGAATTACCACTGACTGGTTTGTCTCCAGAAAAAAATTTGCATTGTCTCCAGATCGTCCAAGTTAAAAGTAAATGTAACCATTCATTACTATCTACACAAAAATTCATTCTTCAACTACACAAAGGAGGAAAGATTTCCTGGAAGAGAGGGAAGATTATATGGAATGCTGTGAGTAGTGGAGAGAGGCCAGGTGCTGGGAATTTGTAATTGGGGGTTTGGAGATTTGAGGGCAAAATAAGCCGTAAGGGCAGCAGTGTTTAAGTCTTCATGACTTTATTTATTCATTTTGTAGCTTCCTAAACAAATTCTATCAAGTAATAAGATCTCACATTTGACACTAAAATATATACAATTATCAGTCCTCAGTTATCTGGGGTTATGAAAAAGAAAACATGAGCATATTCTGATTGGCAATACAACAGCAAAGCTTTCCTGTGGCATTTCAATTTGTCTAAAATTACTACCGGATCTTTAGATGTGCCCGCCACTAAGGCAGCACTCTCCCAGGAAAACATTATGACTAAACTGTAAAATATTGTGAAATGTATTCATGAAGGAGGTGAATTAAAAGGCAAAATCAGTAAACAGAAATACATGAGGAAACAATATACTAGAGTGAAAAATGGGGAGTTACTAGCAATTTATAAATTTCAGCATCTGGTTTTTCTTTTGTTTTGTTTTGTTTTGAGACAGAGTCTTGCTCTGTTGCCTGGTCTAGAGTGCCATGGCATCAGCCTAGCTCACAGCAACCTCAAACTCCTGGGCTCATGCAATCCTTCTGCCACAGCCTCCAGAGTAGCTGGGACCACAGGTATGTGCCACCATGCCCGGATAATTTTTTCTATATATTTTTAGTTGTGTAGCTAATTTCTTTCTATTTTTAGTAGAGACAGGGATCTCACTCTTGCTCAGGCTGGTCTTGAACTCCTGACCTTGAGCAATCCTCCTGCCTGGGCCTCCCAGAGTGCTAGGATTATAGGCATGAGCCACCACGTCCAGCCAGCATCTCATGTTTTTTTAATATTTTTGAGTTGTTAAGTCAAATGTTCACTATTCTAAACATAATTAAGTTCACAAATATTTTGAGGGTCTCTACTACAGCAATCAAAGTTCTTCTGTGAAGAACTGAAATGGTTATTCATCTGTGGAATGAAACTGAAATAACAACAAGAGAAAATAAAATGTTTGATGATGGTCCTAGCCCTCAAAAACTTTATAATTCTAAAAGGAATGAAAAGCTGAGAAGTTCAGAAGAAAAAGCTTAGAACAAACTAGAAAATAAGGCAGATTTTAGGAGACCTATCATAGAGAGTAAAGCAAAGTACTGTGAAACTACAGGAAATAAAAAATTAAATCCAGTAGAAGAATCCACAGATGCTGTCCTAAGGAATTAGCATCCTGGCCAAGGTGGGACCAGCAGTTTGGGGCAGTAATGCTGTTCCAGGTCAAGAGAACAAAGTGACCAAAGATACCAATATATGAACACAGAATAGACACCTGTGGTTAGAGAACAAAGCAAGAGTTTGAGGATAGGGAGGCTATAGAAATAGAATGAAAGAAACATGAGTTGGGACTAGAGTTGAAGAACTTGAGACTACTTAGCAAGTAATGAGATACCTTTGAATATTTTTGAGTAGGACAATGGCTGGCTAAAAGGTGAAGAATATATTCAAAGGGCAGAAGTATATATTAATTTCAGTTTATATGAATACTACCATGGACCAGACATTAGGATTTGACCTAAAATTTGGAGATTAAAGAATTTGTTGATAAAATGAACAATGGCTTATGAGGAAAAGAAGGAAGTGTTCAAGATGATTCTGAAGTTCCAAGTATGGCTGACTGGGAGGCTGCTAATGCCATTCACTAAGCAGAAGCCGGTTTGGAGTGGAATTGGTTTGATTTTGGACAGGGTGTTGACATGACAAAACCGATGTCATATATTCTATTTCCTGATTCCTCCTGGGATTGTCCAAGAGCTATTACCATGACTAATATTTCATACTGGAACAACCACTTGAGGATAAAGTGCCACAGATACCATTTACATATGACACATTTGCTCCTCTGGCAATTGCAGAGTTGATCTGAAAGATTGGCTGTTCAAAGGTTCCAGTCATCTTCGTTGTACAATGTTGACTGAGCACCCACAGGATACCTCAGCCGGTATGCTTCAAAGACAATATTCATGGCCTCACAAAAGGGTTATAAATTATAAACTGCAAACTGAAAAGTAGCCCTTATTCTGAGAGAAAATCAATTTAACATTTTTCTACTAAATTACCAAAAGAATTTGGGAGGAGGTAGGTAGGAGTTGTTTCACATGCCTCGTCCGTCAGAGACTGTCTATACCGTGGGATTCAACCCACGAAGTCAGTCTGCTGTGGAGGGTAATGAATGTCTTGGGTTGTCCTTTCACCCTAATTATGTTTAAGAACTCCCGTTCTGGAGCCAGCCTGCAAGGTTAGAATCCAGCTTCATCACTAAATAGGCAGTGATCTTTGACAGGTTACTCAATCCTTTGTGCCTCAAATTCTTTACCTGTAAAGCAGGTACACCTCATGCATTAATTCCACAACCATTACTACTAAAGACTCTTGCCTGCCAGACGCTGTGCTAGACACAGGTTTTCAGAGGTAAGGACCACTATGGGAAGTTAATATCCTAATGTAGGGAAACTGACGATAAACAAGTTAGTTTCAAAATGAAAGACTCGTAGCTTAAGAATTCCGTGCGTTAATTCCTGTGAAGCATTTGGTACAGTAACTTGAGAAGGGAAATTCTTAATAAAAGCTGGCTATTATTTTAGGATGTGCCTTTCCCTACCAAAACCTGGTAAACTCTCAATAAAAGCAAATTATTAAGGTTAGGCGCCCAAGGCAGCTTTTGCCTGCTTGGTGCAAAGGCGACACACGCCCTTTACCCAACCACCGATCTCCAGGGACATGATAGAGGGAGTCTCTCTTACTTAGACAAGTTCCTTCTCTAAAACTCCTTGGCCGGGTTACCAAGACTGGGGTGTTGACGGGTAGGGTAA